GATTAGTTCAAAAACAGAGACTCTAATCAGGATTTTTAATTAGGCAAGCCGTCATTAACTTTACACTCAACCAACCAAAAGAATGCATCGGTTGGCTCTTCACATTAATTGGAAAATGAAGTGGGATGGCAGTTGCCTTGGGTCCCACTTCCAATTATTTATTGTATACAAACTGACTGAATAGATAAGATTCCACCGCGGAGGAAGTTTCGGATAGTGCAAAGAAAAGAATTCGGTTACAGTGCTTTGGAGAAGAAATAGTATAGAGCTGAAGAGCAAAAAGTCACTGAATAGCCGAAATCCAATAGTTCTTTTCTTTGTTTTGATATTCATAGAAGCCAACAGAGTTCTTTCTCTGTTTAGCCGCAAGCCAATTGCTGTAGGAAATCGTCACAGTGCTTGCATTCACTGTAGCTTTATTCGGTACATTGCTGGAAGAGGTTCTTTGGGTTACGGTAGACAAGGGCTTTCGGCACAGTGTTTTAAACACTGTAGACAGCATCAAAAATTTGCTGTAAGAAGAGCCGCGCTGTTGTGAATAGTTGTTCGACACGTTACTGTGAAGAAATTTCTGTGAAACAGAAATTAAAAGGAAGAAGTGTTGGATGCAATCAGAAGATCCAATAATAAGTACAGGTTTGAGATTTTAGAAGAAGGAAGAAGATTCATTTGATTATATGCAGATGAGAGGTTACGAGGTAACTTACAATCGTAGAAGACTTCGAAGTAGAGAATTGGAGACACCTCAGCAAGAAGGTAAGTAATGCATTTATATTCAAATTTAAGAACTTTCATTTATAGGCATGAAGGTTGATTTTGAATGCATTAAAGTAAAATGTTATGAAATTTGTTTAATGTATAGCAAGAATTTTTAATTCAAACTTCCATGTATGAACAATCGGATACATAATGAAATCAGGTAAGTGTAAAACAAGGTTTAGTATGTTAATCTAAATATTTTCCTATTTGATACTGTTTCGGAAAGATGACAATTTACTTGCATATGATATGCATTTTAATTGTACACCGGTGATCACAACAATGATTATGAAAGAATGCAACAACTTAAGCATGATTGATGAACATTGAAAAACTTTATGAATATCAATTGAAAATAAAGTTTGACTACAAATGATGTATAACTGTAATTACAAGTGGGGAAAAAGGGACCCCAGGGGCAAAAGGGACCCTAAATAATATACTTGTATTACAGGAGGGGCAAAAGGTTCCCCAAAGAATATGATACCTGCATAGCAGGTGAGGCAAAAGGGACCCTTAAGAGGCAAAAGAGACCTGTATGTAATTCAATGACGATAATGCTAGGTTTATCTGGACTCCATTGAATAATGTTATGAAAGTGTAGCCAAATCTTTTATAAATTAAAATTAATATTCATTGTAGAATTCAGAAGAAAGAGTAAGGTTAATTATAAATTTATGATGAATATAATGTTTGATTATATTTTTATGTTAATTAAATTGCAAAGCTTACTAAGTCTCATAGCTCACCAATATTTTCTTACTGGTTGTTGTTACAGGAAAGGGCAAGGAGAAGATTATTGAAGATTAATTTATGCAAGTTATTTCTTATTTTTATGTTAAAGCTATATTTATTAATGAATCTTCTTGTAAGGTATGAAAACATTTTAGAAATGGATTTTATTTGGATTTCCTTAGCGACTTTGTAAGTATGTTTATTGAAATTCTAATTCCTTAGTGGCTTCCGTTGATGCATAAATTGAATTATGGTTGGAAGATTTCTATGATCTTCTCAAAAGAGAAGTTGTATTAAATGTTTTGAAAAGAAAAATGTTTATGTTATGTTTGCTACACTCTACAATACTGTTTAGGGGTATTATGGGGTGTTACATTATTGTGCTCAGTGCCTGCTGTATTGATTTGATTTGTTGTATGCATGATAGTTTTCCTTGTTAATTTCAGGTGTCTCCCTTTTAATCTACAGGAGGACCACTGTATGCATTGCAAGACTCTTGCCATCATCTCTTTAACTTGTAGGTCAATTGTTGTGTGTATGATGAACTTCCTACCATTTCCCGTAGGTGTATGGACTCACCACAGGTTCTTGCACTTGTGTCTATATATGATCTCCCGTACTTGCAACGTTCAGCTGTAATATCTCTCAAATAAATCACCTCTGTTGTCGTCGCTTGCAACTAGGCTATTGCATTTTTTTTACTTATGTCGTAGGAGACCCATTGCACTTATTGTGATCTTCTTCATATGTGCCTTCAAGCTCTTTCACAAGTTTATGAACTGACTACTACGGACGTCGTAAACTTTATATTACTTGTGTGTGGGTTATGATGAGCATCACAAGCCTTTCAACATCCTCAAGGATAGGTTGTAGCTTGCATGATGAACTTTCCTTATTGGTATGCACTTGTAATTGATCGCATACACCTTTCAACCTTCATTACTTGTAAATCTCACTTATTTGTTTATGCAATGATATTGATTATCATTGTATTCACCGTATGTCTTCAGACATGCTTGTAAGAGAGATAAATCTGAAATTAACTTCAGCTCACAAAGAGCGAATGTATATCGGGTGCATCACTTTGATTCATCCTCAAATAGTCTTTTGCCAACAGGGACGTGGCGCGTGCCCTCTGATCAGGTGATTTTGCCGTAAAATAGCACTATTATATTACGATCACGGCAAAGCCCGTATGTTCCCTAAAGACGTCGAACCCTTGAGCGATGAATCATAAGGTATATATGATAGGCATAAAGCCCTCTGTCAGTTAAGGTGGATTCATAGATATCCCCTTAGATAAATATCAACCCAGGTCTGCAAGGTATTATTAGACGAAGCAACTCATGACTGCCAACAAGGTACCTTCTGTCAAGTTGGGTCGACTACCTCCTCTGACTAAGTAGACCAGGGATCATGACAGCCTAGGACGATGGAACCATGGTATCTTGATCGGGCTCGTATTCACTCCCCCTCACCACCAGTTTTAAGTTTATGATGATAAACTCCAAAATCCAAACTTCAAAAATTTAAATCCAAGACTTAAACCCTAAATTATTGCTATTATACGATGGGTTTATAACCTATTCAACCTCTTTAACGACTAGCCTTAATCGAAAGTTCTCTCATATTATTGGGAGGGGTAATTAACTATAGGAGCTTGCGCCTATAGGAAACCAGAACTCAGATCAAAAAGTCCTCACAAAATGAGGGTGAAATCTCTGGGTAGTGTCTTATCTAAAACCCAATATGCCTTCTGAAAATTCCCCCGGAACCTAATCTCGTTAAAACTCTCTGCTGTCATCGTCACATAAACACTTAAAAGAAAAATAGATCGATGGCGCAGAGAGGCCGGGATAACACATCGCAACAAAAAGGAATTTTTCGGAGCCCACAATGATTGCATTTATTGCATGTTCCACATATGCTTGTGATCACTGCAATTACTTGATTGGAGCTGAATTGCTATTAAACTATTGCACTCACATTCTTCATGATTTGTCTTTCATGTATTTCATGAGTATACTCCTTGTATTGTTACTTGCAAGAAAGTTTGCCACCTCTCTTACAATGCTTCCCTAATTGTTACTTAGGGATGTATCATATTCAATGTATGAAAGTGATCGATCGAGGTCCAAAGACCTCCCATACTGTGGCTTTGTTGTCAAACTATATTCCCAAAATAAGCATTTGTTTCTTGCAAACAAGTTATAATTACAAACCCTTTGTCTTAAAGGATAGTTCAATATATATGATGGGTTTGATATAATTACTCATCATTTCATTCCAATTGAGATGGTTATTTCTCAACCTTCATTAAAAAAAATGTGGTTAATCATAAGCATGTTGTTGTATATTCTACTTTGTCCTTGTTTGCATGTTGATCATGTTCGAATATCTCCTTCCACGAGTCCCCTATGTTCAATCAAGTTCGAGTTCGACTCCACCATGCCCATTTGAGTTTGAGTCCAAGAGTCCATTGTTTGTTCAAATTGCAAGTTCAAGTTTTATGTCCCTTGTAGTCTTTGCAAGTTCAAGTCAGAGTCTAATTCGTAGTCATTTGTTGCAAATCGAAGTTCGAATATTCAGAAGTCCATAATGTCCTTGCAAGTTCAATTAAAGTTCATGCTTATTTCAAATTCAAGTTCATTGTGATTTTACTCACTTTCACATTAAGTCCATTATAATTTATTTTTAATTCAAATTAAATGTCAAGTCCCCGGTGGTCCTCTCAAATTCAAATTCAGGTCAAATTCAAGTCACCAGTTTTGCTGAAAAATACGGCAACCTCCCGACGTCTCCCCCGATCAGGAGAAAACCAAGAGTCATAGCATGCCCGCCACATCAAGAAAGACGTACGATCAATGTTGTGAGACAACGCAGCCGTAGGCTTCTTCCCCTACAGCACTAAGAAAGGTGTGCATGGGTCTTCAGGGGTACCTGTTTGAAAAAGCAATTTTCTCCGCATACGGGTACTTATATTTTGCCCCGCCGTGCTAAGAAAAGCGTGCACAAGGATTGTCCGTCTTGCCGTAGGCACCGCATCAAGTTCCCTCCCTCCACGCTAAGAAAAACGTGCACATGGGGTCCCTCGGCGTGCCGTAAATGCCGAAAATAGGATTTTAGGAGGGGATTACCCGCCTAATTAACTGTAAAAGATTAATTGTAATTAATTAACAAATTATAATTAATGATTAATTATAATTAACTACTAATTAACTAAAATTAATAATAATTAATTTATTACAATCATAATTAATAATAATTAAATGTAATTATTAATATTTAATTATAATTAACACTTATTAATACAAAATAAATCTTTCATCTTCCTCTGCTTGCCTAAATCCCTAAAGCTCAGCGAATTTACTGGATTTGGCCAAAGAAGCTCGCGGAAGGGAGAAATTATCTTCACAGTGAGCTAGCTCCTATCATTGCCTCTAATCAAAATGTCGTAACTCCCGAACCTTCCGAGCAAGCGAACTCCCGTAATTGCTTCTGATCATAATGTGTAACTTCCGATCCCACAAGAAGGGAAAGTCGTCGATGGTGCAGAGTCGAACAATAACGAAGAAGGCGAAGAAGGGATTAGGGCTGAGAGGTTCGTCGGCTCTACGGGATTCAGCCGAAGAAGCGCTTCACAGGGAGAAAGTTAACTTCACAGCAAGCGGAGCTCCTGTTGTTACCTCCGATCGAAGTGTCGTAACTTCTGTTCCTAGAGGAAGGGAAGTCGTCGAATGAGCATAGTCGACTAGCGATGAAGAAGCACGCGAGAGGGAGAAGGAAAAAGAGGTCCCCAAGCATCGCTCCCTTCGCCCCCTTTTAACGAAGCGATAGGTCGTGTGAAGTAGTGACAGATGCAACGTTGATCGTGCGCGGGATGGCGACGACGTGCGAGCAGGTATGATGATTTGATTTTCATGTTTTTTTTTTTTTGGTCCAAAGGTCAACAACCACATATTTCTATAGTTACATCATACTAATATTTCTTGAATGATTTCATGCATACTATATCTACTTTTTGTACATTAATTTCAATACTGGGTTCCGGTAACTACTGATTTTACATATTTTTTTAGAAAAAGTATAGGATCTACTAGAGTGAGACTGATCGGGATTCAAGTTTTTTTAAGTATTTTGTTTTATTTTTTTGTAATCAGGAGTAGAAAGATGGATTGACTAATGTACTAATGGGCTCCTAATTATTATATATGAATTTTGAGGAATGAGCCTAGTTTTATATTTTGATGTATATGATTATTAATTGCTTCCATTGGACTAAATTATATTGATAGATTATTAGTAACTTTGGTATTTCAATTAGAGTTTAAAATAGACAATTCTTTCAAATTTAGATATTAGGGTGTGTCATCACTAGCATGGGGTAATGCCCAACCATAAAACGGCAAAAAATCTTCACCTACTTCCTTTTATATTTATCTCCCCCTTTTCCTCCACTATGCAGCAAATGATGTAGAGAGATGCCATGGAAGCATTCCAAAAGCTTTAGTAACGTGTGGAAGGAGGAAGAGGGAAGTATAAAGCATGCAATTTTAGAGGAAGAAGAAGCATAAACATCATCTTCATTCCAATAATCCTTTCTTAGGCACCATTGCGATGGACTAGCCTAAAGAACTGTAAAAAATGAGACAAATGTTTCCAGCGTTCAATAGCTTTAAGAATTCAGCCCTCGCTCTCTCTTTCACGTTGACGTTAAGCTTCATTAAGAGGCTAGAGGTCTTCTTCCACTAGAATTCCTCTTCCATTAGAATCTAATGCATATGGGTGGACGAACTGATGCTTTTGATGTCAACAATTGACCACCCTAAGGCAGTCTTTTATTCTCTCAACAACTTGTTCCATTGTTCCTAATCTTCCACCATAATGCCATTTCGCAAAATCTCAGACAAGGATGGATGGACAGGACTTCTAACTAGTTTTCCCTTGGATCTTTGAATGGCATCTTATAAACATCGGTGTTGCTTCCTCCAGACTTTTGAGATGTTCCACAACCTCAAGCTCCTCAAAGAGTGCAACCCCATAATACAAGCTGAAAGGGACTCCTCTAAGCAATAAAGCTCTGGAATCTCCTTGATTTAAGTGACAAGAATATCTAATATGAGGTAACTATAAGTCTCCAACAACAGGTGATTCATAACAATGAACCCATTGAATGTCACTTCTTTTTTAACTCTCAGGAGGAGCTCTCATTTTTTCACCTCAATCAGTGTTCTGCCTGTGACAATGAATGGGTGCGCCAAGATAATTGAAATATCTTGGTCCTCCTCCATGTCAAGAACAATGAAAACCAATAGGGAATAGAAACTTATGAACTTTTATGAGAATGTCTTTTACTGTCCCCGTCAAATGTTTAATCGATTGATCAACTAGTTGCAAAGAGATTATAGTCAACTTCACTTCACTGATTCCATGCTCCTTATTAGAAAAGCAAGGCATCAGATTTAGACGTCCCAAAATCATGTAAGGCATTGATGGAATGCATGCTCCCAACGGTGCAGTGCATAGAAAATCTTCCATCATCTTTTAGTTTTGTTGGCAGAATTTTCTATAAGATTGCACTACACTCCTCAATAAGTGCCATTATCTCATATTTTCTAATTTCCTCTTATTTTAGAGGATCTCTATTACGAACTTGATGTAACTCAACATCTTCTCCCATGTGTCAGTTAAGAGGATATTGATGTGCAACTTTCTGAACGCATCAAAGAACTTCAAAATTTGTTCATCAAGCTTCTACTTTTAAAAACACTAAATAGCATTGGAATATAAGGCGATGGATTGCCTAGGAACAAATTCGCCATGGGCCTCGCTTCCTTTTCATTGTCCTCTCGCTCAGCTTCAGAATGCTTAGAATTGGGCTTCTAATGCCCATTGACTCAATCAGCACTTGGTCATTTCTTAGAATTCACTTTTAACGTGCTCTTCCAGATAGATTTCTATGTGCTCAGGAGAGCAACAGGTTACCTCGTTGTAATCTGCTGCAACAATTGCTCAATCTGCACCTCAATATTTTTTTATGGCAAATTCATGTCGTTGAATGGATGTTTGATAGGAAACACTTTCCAAAACCAAGAGGATCCAAAGGAAAAACTGCTGTCCACAGCAGTAAAACAGCCAACTGCACAAAAACCTGAGAGAAAACGTAGGAGAAAATGTAGGAAAAACACTGCAAACACTTTTATTTCGATGACGGACGAAAAGCACTTGCAAGATACAGCTTTCCTTCAATTCGAGAGGAAGGAAAAACTCTCCAAAAGATCTCCGGCGAAGCCAAGAGCCCAAGACACCAAAACCTAGATCTCAAAACAATTCAAATTCAAGATACCTCGCCAATCCCCCCAAAACTCCTAATTATACAAATTAATCATAAAGGACAGTAATGGACTTCCTAAAACAGCCTCTCATTCAAAAATTTCCCTCCCCCCGTGCGTTTTAGCCGCTGTTTGGGCCCCGCTCCTGCGCGCGTTCCGCCTGGTTCCGCCCGACCTTGGGCCGTCGGGTGTAGAACCGGACCGGTCCAGCTGGGACCGGTCCAGGCGTAACAATGTTCCTTCAAAGTTGAATCAGTGAATGCTTTTCGCTAATGATATTCTTCTTATTAATAAGAACAGAGGTGTTGAAGAAAAACTTGAATTATGAAGGTCAACCTTAGAGTTTAAGCAGGTCTAAAACTAAATACATAGACTGTAATTTTTACAGTAAAAGATCTAGTGGATGGATTGGGTCTTTGAGCAATCAAGTTATTAACAAGAGTACATGTTTTAAATATATTGGGCCAATTATTCAGAGTGATGGTCAAATAGATGGAGATATTATCAATAAAATTCAAGTTGGATGGTTGAAGTGGAGGAATGCATCGAGCCTATTGTATAATAGAAAAGTATACCTCCAACTTATGGGAAAATTTTGTAAGATGCTGGTAAGACCTGCAATTCTTTATGGCACAAAATGTTTGTCATTAAAAGAAAAACATAATAAGTGTTGAAGAGATAATGAAACTCAACCAGATAAGTGTATTTACACTTAGAGGTAAAATGTGAAATGAGTATATATGAGAAAATGTTGAAGTAGCTCCAGTGGCAGATAAGATTAGACAGAATCACCTTAGATGATTTAGTCACATAAAATGTCGGCCTTCGGATGGCCATATTAAGAGAGTAAATGTATTAGAATCGGCCTATATTAACAAAGGTGGAGGTAGGCCTAAAAAGACTTGATTAGAAAGTATTAGAAATTACCCTTTTAATTATATTTAAATGAAAAATTAATTCTTAATATGACACAATGGAGAAAAAAGATTCATACAGTCGAACCCATGTTGTGAAATAAAGGCTTGATGTTGTTGTCATTTGTTTTTATTGACCTCTGAGAGAGACCTCCCCCTCCTACTACTGATATCTAGATTGTTGGAATCCATATTGCTAATGAAATTGTGATGGCTACTAAAAAACTATTTTTTGCTGTCTAGCCTGCTGGATCTTCCAAGAATAGTTGGGGTGAAATCCAGATTGTAGGTGTTGATGTAACGAATGTTCTGTTGTTGGTTCCGAACAAAGTGTGCCAGCTCCAGATGAGGTTGTCTGAATGGGTTATTTGGTTAACAATCACTGCTCTGATGGTGCCTCAACAAAAATTGTAGAAAACGATGGGTGCGTGAATGGTGTTGACAGTGAAGTGACTAAGTTGTTCCAACAGTGAAGCAACTTCAACAATGAGTGCCACAATCGGAGTGGACTTGTGAACAATGATAATAGTTTTCTTGAACATATGTTGATCATGTAGCCAATGGTAATTTTTTGTGGCCGTTTTCTTAGGAAAGTCATAAGCTACCTTTTGCGTCTTCCTTATAAAAATGTCGCTATATACAAAATCGAACAATATCCTCATAGCACATATGAAACCATTGCAAAATTTCTAGACTTGCATTCACTTTGGTAACTCATGGTGCGGGCGGGCACTTCCTCAACAAACCCTTGTACCTCTCCCAAGCATTATACAATGTCTCTCCATCTAACTACAGAAAATTGGACAATGTGCATCCTGTTTGTTTTCACTGGCGGAAGTATTTTGATAGAAACTTTTACCCTAAATCATACTAGTTAATGATCAAATCACTCGGCAGCGAATTCAACTAGCTGGCAGCTCTTAACACGATCTCTTAATGAAAAAGGGAGCAATCTCAGCATGATAACATCATCTGAGACCCCATCATATATGAAAGTATCACGAATCTCTATAAAGTTTATGATGTGATAATTTGGGTCTTTGAATCAATATGAGGGATTATTTTGAATCAATTTTGTATAGTCAAGAGACTAAATAAGGGTAACATGTATTCTGGGACTAAATTGGCTGTATAGAGATAATTTGGGGACTACTTTGAGATTTTTCTTTAAATAGAAATATGAAATTTTTAATTAATTATTTTAAATGCTCATGAATAAGTACAATAATGATTTTATAAATATCAAAATTTTATATCATTTTAAATGTACCTATTATTTAAATAGTTATAAGCAAATACATGAGTGGAATAAGACTCCTTGTATGCATACATGTGTGCATGCATACAAAGCTCAAATTTCATGTTGCCTTTCTTCTTTTCTTTTATTGAGAAGGTGAGAGGAATGTTTGGTTGGTCATATGGACTAATGGAAAGATAAACATGTAAAACTTGATAGAGACGTACTTAAAAGGCCTCTATATTGGTCCTATTTCTCTGCATTATAACCCTTTTATATGAAGGAATTGAAGAAAATTGAATATCTCCAACCAATAGACCATAGATACCATTTATATCATTGACTAGCAATCATGCAAAAAATGTTGCTACAAGATAAACATAATGAAATAATAAATCAATGGTATAACAAAGTTTTTCGAATAATAAATCAATGGTATAACAAAGTTTTTCGGGCTAGATCTCCAATCCCTCTGCTTGAGCAATCAACAAATTTGAAGGGCGGGTAACCAAGTTCATCACAAGACATGTTCGAGAGATGCATAGCTTAATACAACGCAAGAGTAAAGGGATAATATACTTACATGAGATATTAGGATCTTTGCAAAAACTCTCAAACTGGAGCTTGAGATCCCCTTGACTTAGTGTGAGCCTCTCAGCTGCCTAAAATGTACAATATTAGTTAGCTCATTCATATAACAAAAGAATTTATGCTGAAATAATTATCTAGTGTTAACGATCGCATAGATTGTGTGGCAGAAGATATAGCAAGAGCTAAAATAGCACAAATTTTAATAGAAAAAATAAAATAATCTCAATCCAAGGACAACTACAAGATGTCACTGGTGATTTTTAGTTAAAGATCAAGCACCTAGCGAGCATCATACAAGTTGACTACTTAAAAATAGTTGTTATCATAGTTGATATGAATAAAAAAGGGTTTAATTATGGGGATTTAAACCACCAAAAACTTTTTTTATTTTTACATTTAACACCTAAAATTGAATATTTACTTCTATACAACCCAAAACTCTTGAAGTCATCAAAAATACTATACCACAAAACGCCATCACACCTCGTGAACCATGGCACTCTTTTCTTTCATCAACCCTCTTTGCTTCTTCATGATATCTAAATTCACAACATCCGAACATCGTCATTCTTGTTGTTCTTCTTTCTTCACGAGATCCCTTGCATTTGCAAGACATCTACGACTAAGCTCACCAAACATTTTCTCCCTTTCGCTTATTTCCCTTTTGTCAAGTCATATGCTAAGCAGAATCGTGATTCTTATTATTCTTTTTTTGTGAGCTCCATATCTTTGTGAGACATCAACTACCACATTGCTAGATGTTCGCTAGGTGCTTGATCTTTTGCTTCATTTAACTATCAAATTATTGGAGAATAACATTAGTTTGGTTGATATTTTATGCAAACATATCACAAGTAATTATGCTGCAGAGGTATTTAAAAACCTCAAGTTGATGGGTTTATAGGAACGAAAGAATGGATTAAAAGCAAATTCACCAAGCTTTTAAACAAATTTGATGATATGGTGGAACTAGACTGAAAATTCTAAGTGATTGATCAACAATATTAACGCTGTTGGTCTAACTTCTAATCCAAACCCATTACATATTGGCATATGTCAAACTTACTTCTAAGACTTCAATCATCAACTTGAAGGAAATGGCTTTAAGATAAACATATTGCAAGAAGGCACCTTAAAATCTTGAATACTTGGCAATTTGTAGAGTAATCAGCATAATTTATTTCTCAGTTGTGATAGAGTTTAATCTATTGAATATAAGTTCTTTTGGTCAATTTAAAGTAATTTCAAACAGTTTAAAGTGAAGATATGCATTTTTATAGATTCGGATGATGATTAGCAGCTAATTTTAATTTTGTAATGTTTAACAAGTGTCCTACTTCAAAACACGAGTTCAAGCCACAAATCAACTTCAAATCGCAGTCATAACAGCAAAATTTACCATATATGTAACTTGAAATGTGATTTACTTGCTTGCTATAGAGGCCAAAATTGTGGAAGAAAATTTTACAAATGCTCCAGAAATTGGATAAAGGATGACTACAAAATTTTTTAAGATGGAATGATGGCATTTAACATATAGCATTCGACATGAAACATGAACGAGAAGTAGATTTTGAGGATAGTGTCAAGATGAAACCTGACTCCATCTTGTTTCTTGTCAAAATTTTGATTGAACTATGAAGTTGGCTTAATATAGAAGTTTGTATTTAATCCTCTATGATCATCTTTTGTTATTGGTAGGTAGCTATGTTGTTTGTGATCTTTAAGAGATCACTTCATGTTTGTTGGTAATTGTCAATGTATGATTTATTGTAATAGTTTTGATGCTCGTAATCCTTTTTAAAAGAAAAGCTGCCTGGTTTAACAGGCCCGATTGATGTTTGTCATTTTCATCAAAGCGATTAGTATTGTGTGATGCTTGGAAATATCAAGATTGGAATGAAATGTAATGTTTGGAAAGAAATTTTGCCACAGCTAGAGGAAATGGGATGATCTATAACCTAAATACCTATAATGTTTCAAGAATATATGCCACAATTCAATATAACTGTCGAATAAGAAGTATAAATTTCAATATACACGGCAATTCAATATATGCTGCAACTCAGTATGCTGCAATTCAATAATTGTTGTTGTTGTAACCTATATGCTATAACCTAAGCAAACTAAAGTTTGTGAGATGTAGCCTATATTTTGTACACCGCTGCAACATACATGTTGTAGTAGATTTCAGCCTTATAATGTAGTATAATATGTAGCTGCAGTTTAGTTTCACATGCGACAGAGAACTTCAAGCTGCAGTTACAAATATAAAGTTCAGGACGATCCAAAACGGGAAACTGCAGCTGAATGAATCCAGAACTGAAATGCTTGTAAACAAAACGAAGTTCTAAAATGCTACATGAGCTAACCTAATTATATAAAAGTGATCATCAACATAGATTTGCCATAAAGGCTTCATTCCAATGAATGCTACGGCATTAATACAAGGATGTACATCAACTGCCATAATCTAAAAGTGCATTTCCCTATATCAATATCAACTCTGTGTCTTTCATGACGACCCCCAACCTCAACCTTTGGCACAGTAGGCTGCCTGATATCAAATTGCTCTTTCCTTATAGTTATTTCTCTAATGTATTCACAACATGAAGAACTAGTTCACATCGTCAACTTGTTGAGTTCATCTTCCTTGAGGTCCTTTATTTCATAATCATTCCCCTGACCATGTCAACGAAGTTCACAACTGGCTCACTTCTAGCCTCGACAATCTAGAATTTGAAAGATTCAGTCATCTTGTTTGTGTTACAGTCAAGCTTTACCTCAGTTATAAACTGACTTTTAAACCACTTGTATGGTAAAGAAAGCAAATATGAATGGGCAGACATATTAGTACTATCTATTTCAGTTACTTTATGGTCGTACTCAAGTCTTGTGTTAACATTTGCCACTTACACCAAGTTTCGAATCTTATGACCATCTTGGTAATGAAAGAACTCCTTCAAGTTCTTCAACAAATGAAGTAGAAATTCACGATGCTCTGCATCCGAAAAGATATGCTATATTACTTCACCTAGGCCTTCTTCAATGTTTTAATTTAAAGGCTGATGGATATAACACAACTGATGCAAGCAAAAATTTGGGAAAAGTCCAAAATTTTTGCAAGCAAGAACTATACCTTCCTAGGAAATAGAAGATATACAAAACTCCCAAAAACTAGACAAAGTACAATAAATAAACCAAAAACAACTTTACTTTTATAATATAAAAGAACTTACAAACTTTGATGCTTACTTCACGACACAAACATTAACATAAACTCCTAAAACTGCTTGCCAAACGTTGAGAAGAAAGATACAGGTGGGGTGGTCACTTGCGGTGAGAAGAAAGAGATTAGAAGACGAGACGAAACATAGCTCGCAAACTATAGAGAAGAGAAGAGATGGGGGACATAGCTCGCAAGCTATTCCCAAAGAAGAAAAAACCCTCGGGTTTTCTTACTCCAAAAATCAGCACACAACAACCTCTTCTTTTTTTGACAAAAAACACCACATATTTATATGAAAGAAAGGGGAGCCAAACAGCCAACTTCAACCTTTAAACAAACCAATCAGTAAGGGGAAGAGGAAGGGAGGCATATATCACAAAACAACTCCCAAAAATCATCACAGGAACCGGGTAGGACAAGCCACGGGAGCACAGCTAGGGAGGGACCCGAAGAGCCAACACAAAACCTAGGATGTAGAAGCCACTGGAACACAGCCAGGGAGTGACCCGAGCAGGCAACATAGGAACCGATAAGAACAAATCACGAGAAAGCAGCCAAGGGGAAAACCGAAAAGGCAACCAGCACCCAGCCTTAATTCACGGGAACAGCACGAAGGGAAAACCAAGGAGACATAAGAAGGGGAAGAGGCATGAGTGGCGAAACCAAAGAGAAAGAACCAAGGGCCAAAAGAGAGGGGGGGAATGAACCTAATTAATTCTTACAATTTATGAGCTTAAGACACTCTACTAGATGTTAATGAGCGGACATCTAGTATGGGAATTAAAGCTAACTAAAAATAAAACCCAACTTGCCCGCCCCCCCCCCCCCTATACATCAACAACCAATTGTTTTAGCCAAATTTTCTAAAAACTATTGTCATGTTTTCTTTGATTCAGTTTCTACAATGGCAAAGGCTAAGTAAACAAATCATTATTAGCATCAAGGGTATTTGCAAGAGCAGCACGCCCAAATACTTCAACTGGCAAGCATTAAGACCTATCAGAAGTCTACAGCCAACCAGAAACACTATTGATACAAACCTTGATGCTTACATATAATCTCTAGAAAGAACTATCATCGCTATCATAGATGTATTTAATGTGAAAACCCACTCTATTAAGAAGCTCTGATCTTAGTGCAGGAACCCACTAGTAGTTTTCATTGATTGATGCAAAAAATGATATCTCAGGCTTGCTCTCTTGAGCATCATAGCTTCATATAGGATAGAGAAAATCCGTAGGTCGTCTTTAAGCTATTGTGAGTGGCATGCATGTAAATCCCCCTTTAACTATTTAAATGAGAATTTTATCATTCACTTTGGAACTGCTCAAGACTAGTATATAACATATCTGAATCTAATGTCCCATCAAAAGTACCTCAAAATAGGATGCGAATTACAGCCATGAGGAGTGCTTTGTATAATCGATCCCATTTGCAGGAAGAGATATTCAAACATACCACTTTCTTCTTCCCCAAAATCTCATATAAAGTTGAATAAACATAATATCTGATAATGAGGTTAATATCACCAACTCATTTAGTAATGACAGCACAGAAAATGCATTTTAGTTAAAGAATCAATTTCAATAGCATCACACAGTTTAATTGCGAGTCTATGAAAAATGTAAAGGAAGCAAGCTAAATAAAGGGATTTTATTGTCTAGAAAACTACACGAAAATCTTAAACCAGTGCAATGGATATTGTAACAGCTTATAAATGATATCTCACAACATTTTGCAAGTACTAACCTTAGCTATTAAAGGATCTTTTAAATTGGCAACAGTTGCAAAGTGAACCTTTTCCACATCCCTTAAATTATGTAATGACAACATTTGCTTGTTAGATAAACAAAGGCCAACTGGCCAAAAATGAATACCAATGTAATTAAAACTGCAAAAATAATATTTTCTTAAGCTCACATGGGTTCTGGAAGTTCATCCTCCGTGAGTAAGCCATCTTTGACAAGCTCTTCAAGAGAGATAAGAAGAGTGTTTCCACAATTTGCATCCTACAAATAATCATCAAAAGAGCATCAAATTTGGAACATGAGAATGCTAGAATAGAAAAGTGAGACATGCAATGAAATGGCATTTTGATATATTTGACCAAGCTGTCCCTCTTTTGTTTTTTGTTTTTTTTAATGAATACACTAAGTGAAAAAGCATCTTTTTTCTGTTATATAAATTACTAGTAGTAAAATTTCCTAATGACAGCTTAAAATGCAGATATATTGACCAGTACTAGCACCATCAAATAGCTGAAATTTTAAGAATATAAAAATTTTCTAACAAGAAATTGCATTTAACTTTGGGGATGTTTGGTTGGAATATTTTAGGATGTAGAGTAGTAAATGCATGGGTTTTGAGTTTGGTGTTTGGTTGGATGAAAAGCAAATCCAAAGTGAAGAAAATTAAATGCAGCGTATTTCATTCTAGTTCATTTTTGAGGTAAATCGTTCTCGCCCAATTTTGAAGACGAACCGTTTACACCGCTCCAAAGCTTGCTTGACCACCGCCAGCATCCTTCCATCACCGCCGACCTCAAACCGCCGCCACCATCAACCACCGCCCTCCAGCGCCTGCCAACGGCCACCCTTGGCACAACAATTTTACACTTTACATTACATTCACTTTACTTCAAACCAAAAAATAATAATAATAATAATAATAAAGTTTTGCATTCCTTTTTTACACTCATCCAAACAACCTCAAAGTATTCCTTTTACACTGCATTCTTTTTTCAGGCAACCAAACGACCCCTTAAGTATTTAAAGACCCTAAGAAAAGAAAGCCTTAAAATCTTCTATCTCAGCTTGGAAAGTGCCTCGAGTATAGCAGCATAGCATCAATTCATGTAACCAGGTGAGCAAAAAATAAAAGTAAAAAAGTGGTAGTAGAAAATCCACTTCAGCAAAACCCAGCAACCAAATTAAAATTGGGCATTAAACCCTAAACTCCGAAGGATACCTCATTGATCTCCATCTTGATAAGTCTCAAAGATATTAACTAAATATAATCGATAGAGGATAATAAATTCAATGATGAAATTCCATGCAAGCACAAAAAATTTACCTGGCCCGCATAAGGTGATCCATCTTCATTGGACTTCCTCCCGGGAGGTACAAGGGGTAAAACCTGCAGAAAAAACAAGGAAAGAGTAATTGAAATTAATCTATCACCCCATGGTTGGGACCCTTGATCCCTAGCATGAAGGAGAGAGTTCAAGCGCAGCAACATCTAACTTATAACTTCTAATATTAGTGGTTTAATTCACAAAACATCCCAAGAAAAAAAAATCCAAGATTTAGCACCATTCCCGCTGCCAGATCACTTGAAAGTAACTGAAACAACTCTAAACCAAGTTATACTCAGTAGTCATTTAAATTCAATTATATCAGTAGATTGAAGAGGCTCATTTGATTATTTGTACAAAGAAAACATGTTTAAGAAAAAGAAACAATAATTTGTGTTTGAACGACATTTCTGTTTATATATAAATGTTTTGTAGCAAAAGCTCAAAATCAAACTTTTTTCGAATATCTAACTACATTCAATAAAATGATGGAACCTAGTATAGTCACTAGGTCAAAAAAAAAAAAAAAATTTTGTTTCAAGCAACATAATGAGCCCTAAACACGAAAAAAAAAATTGTGCGGAGAAAACATATATGATATATACCTGCCAAACAGAGCAACCCGTAGAGTGAAGCCAATCCAAGAATCGGATGGCCTCGTCCCCAAAATCTCCGATCCCGTACGGTCCACGTAACGAGCTCGGGTGAAGCAGCACCCCGGCCCTCCTCCTTTCACTTGGATCCGCGGACGGGAACTTCGATCCGTAATCCTCCGGCAAGTCATCCCCCGCAGCGACGGAACTGCTGCCACTTATAACGGCGCGTCCACCTCTCCTTGCCGGAGAAGAGAATGTTAATTTGCCGGTCCTAAACCGTGCCGAGGTGGTGGAGTCGCAGCGGGTCTTGGCGCCGCTGGCAGCAAAGGATAGAACTTGGATGTTGGAAGAGAGGAAGAGAAGTCGAGATAGGGCCATTAGGTTATAAAAGGGGAAGAACGACTGAACTTTGTCGAATGCAAAGCAGCGACGAGTCGACGAGATAGATGCGTTGAGCGGTGAAGACAACAGTGGATCTTCGGCCCTCCCGCCTCAAATAATTTATTTGTAATAAGATAACACTGTCAGGCGTCAGCTATATAATCTCATGAAGTTGATATTTTAAAAATAATAAAAAAATTAAATAAAAATTTTCAATCTCGTTTATCCTTTCGCATCCATCTCATCCCTCCATTAATAATAGTAGAGCTACGTCCGGTCAGAGGACGGATTGAACTTTTATTTGGTCAGGTGAACGTACGTAGAGCTACGTTCGGCCGGCACTAAGATCCCAAGCACAAAACGAGAAATACCGAGTAAATACCGAGCAATACCAACAATAACGAGAAATACCATTATGTGAAGACAAAATACCGAGCAATACCGAGTAATCATAAAAAATACCGAGTTTTAAATGAATAATTCTATTTTCTTACGCAAAATTATTTTATTAGTTTAAGTATTCTTTGTTATGTCATAAACAAATTAAAGCATGATAATTTATTTACTTAAATTATGTTTGTTGAATTTGAATTTGTCCAATAGAAAGATCGGAGATCCAAAGTCTCTAGTCAAAGATTAGGAAAAGATGTTAAGGTCCCCAAATATTTCTCATCACTTCTTATTTATATGATTTTGATGGCTATATGATAGGCTATATGGAGAAAAATAAAATTACAGACTACATAGAATATCTCATAAAATACTACACGCTAATATATGGCATGTATCGCATCCTAATTGGCTAAAAGAGGACATAGTCAACAATCGAACAACCTGTCTGTCATTGGACAAACCTAAGAGGGTCGAGTAGGCTTAGGGCGAGTTTGGGGGTGAATCCCGGGAAGAGATGGACCCGTAGCTAGCGAGTAGTCTGATAAGGTCGACAATTGGCGTAGGGAGGTCGAGGTCACCTTGTTGTGAAGGAGCGAGCATTGGTGTTTATAAGGATGAAAGACTCTGAGCCTAATAGTGATGACAAAATGAAGTGAGAAACCTATGAGATAGGCATTTTCCTGTAGTTGATTATGATGGGCTCGAAGGAGGAGGATTGATTGAGATGAGTGATGATTTGTTTGCTTAGTGAGGAACTTTCTAGACACTCGATGTAGGGTGAGCTTTAAATTTAAGAAAAATATTGTTGATCAATATACATATCTGAAGGCCAATGAGAGCAAGTTTATATTTTAATTATGTATATTGATGATATCTAATTTGCTACTAATGATTTTGATTTATTACATGAGATTCATAAATTTCTCTCTAAGAACATTTACACATGAAGGATAGAGGTGAGACACTCACATGTAATAGGAATTGAAATATTCCTTTACAAAATAAGGAGTGTTACTTGAAAAGGTGTGCGTGCGGTGGGCATTAAAACCCACTCATAACCATCTCAGCGTGCCTCACAAGTCAGATCCTCTATCTCTTCTTTCGCAAAGCATGCGTTGCTTCCATTGCTTTCCTTCACTGCCACTTCCATTTCTTTGTTATATTTTCTTCTCTTGTCATCGATAAAGGGGTATCCGGAAAGCATGATGGAGGGTCAATTCTATCATACTTGTGGCAAGGACTGGATTTGATCTAATTCGACTTCTCTACTATAAACCCTATGTTTCTCTAAACTTATGTTTCTCAACATCAGAGAGTGATAACTCTTTATTGATTTAATGAAACCACATGTAAATATAATTGATTAATTGAATATGATAATTGATTTATTGGATAAATGATAATTGATAATTGATATGATTGTTGACCAATTAGGAATCAATTGGATAAAATATGTTGAAAGTACCACATTAAATTCAGATGTCCTACCTTACTAAATCATGCATTGATGCATGTGTATATTAATAGCACCGATGACATTGACATATATATTAATATTATTGATATTATTGGATGAATTGATAATACATAAATAAATGATGCATATGAATAGATATGATAGATTCATTTAGTCGGCTGGCAATGTCGGTCTGAGGGACCGTAGTTGGCGAGTGACAGTGGTTATAGGGCCCATAGTTGGCGGGCGACGAAGGTTGGAGAAACCGTAGTCGACGGACGACGGAGCTTTGAGGAACTGTAGTCGGGTGGCCATGGCGGTTAGAGGGATCATATTCAGCAAGCGATGATAGTTAGAGGGAGTGTGGTCAGCGGAACAGTTGTCCAACGGTGGTAGGCGGTTGGCGGTCAAGTGGTGGTCCGATACTGATTGAGCAAAGGTCTGATAGCGATCATGTCACACCCTATTTTGACCCCTTTACAATCAACCAGGAATGTAACATAAATAAAGAAGCTGAAGAGGTATCTCTTACTAACACACATCATAAAAATACTTCTATAATGATCAAGAAGTTAGAAAATGGCCTATCCAAACTATTCCAACACAACAAGGTTTTCACATCTTAATTGGAAATAATATTTCATAACTCGAAGCTTAAATATATTAAATAAAATACAAATCTTACTAAACTTTTAAATATTATTTACATACCAAAAAGTGTTTGTACAACTTATACTTTGACATTTATGTACGCCCAGAACGTATATACACAAAACTTCAATCAACCTTTATGTCTAGTACCCCACTGGCTCCTTCCTCTTTCATGCAATATAACAACTGCTAATGAGCTAAAGCTCAATAAGCTCAATAAAAATGCAAAAATAGTATAATAAGTAATAAACATGTTTGTAATCAACTGAAAATAAATTCTCATCATTTCCTATTATGTTTATTATAATATAATAAGTTCGACGACTATTAGCGGATAGGTGGACGTTCGACGATGGGATAGGGATCGTAATTGATGGGCGATGGACATTAGAGGGACCATATTCGATAGGCAACGGAGGTCAAAGTGATCATAGTTAGCAGGCTTCGAAGGTCAGAGAGATTATAGTCAGCGGGCGAAGGAGGTTGGAGAGACCGTAATCGGCGCTTAACGGAGATCAAATGGACCATTATCGATGTGTAATAGATGTCGGAGGGACTATGGTCAGTGGGCGACGGAGGTTGAAGAGACCTTAGTCTGTGGGCAATGAAGGTCGTAGGGACCGTAGTGGATGAGCGATAATGGTTAGGGGATCGTAGTTGGTAGGAGACAGAGGTCGAAGTGGACCTTAGTCGTCGGGCAACGGTGGTCTGTTAGTGGTCGGGCTGAAGTCAGGCTGCAACGGCGGTCGGGCAGTTCTTGGCGGTTGAGCGGTGGTTCAACGATTATCATATGAAAGTCCTGCGATGGTTGGTAGCTTGGCAGTGGTGCGATTATGATCGATGGCCGGGTGGTCTCCACCGAACCATTGCTTGGCTGTTGATCGTTGATAGAATTCTGCCCGATAATTGTCAGACCACTGCTCGGCCACCAATCACCGCCGAACCATCTCTCAGTCGACGACCACTGCCGGATCACTATCGATCGCTGACTATGATATCCCGGACCACCGTCGCTCGCTGACTATGATCTCTCTGACCACCGTCGCCCGTTGACTATCATCCTTCTGATCATTGTCTCCCACCAACTACAATCCCTTAAACTTCAATCGCCTGCTGGCTACGACCCTCAGACCTTTGTCGTCTGCCAATTACTATCCCTTTGACCTCTGTTGTGATGTCAGCCAAATAAACATGCCAACGTTCTCTTCAGAAAAACTTCCTTATCATTGGATTCTTCCAAATCAAACGATATAATATACTATGTAATGAACCACAAAATACTAGTGGATCTATTTCAAAAGGGCAATACCCCGTGATTTTTCGCCCATCTCAAAGGTTTTCAGGTAAAAACTCCCGTGTCTCTTATAAATACTGGACCTCTCTCTTTATTTGTATATGTGCTAGATTTTCAATAAAAACTATGATGCTAAGTGCTTAATCTCTCTACCACCATGAATGTTTTAGGACACAACACCTGTAATATTTATTTGCTTATAATCAAAACAAACCTTTCGACGATACCAACACGCTTGCTCAAAATGAATGCAACCTATCTGATAAGAGCTGCCTTATTGCAATCTATTATTTATAAAAGAACTAATCAAAGGGTAATCAAATAATGTAGTAAAACGAAGATTTGCATGATGAATAATGCATTGCTTTAGTAGTCAATTGCCTCTGTTTTTTTTTTTTCTTCCCCAAATTAAGAGAACAAATGAGATTTGAGAGTTTTGGTCAACAAACAGGATCTGAGGACCGAATTACGGGTAAGAAGACGCAATAGGAGAGTCAGACGTGAGAATTATTGAAAACTCACCAATTTGATATTGTCAAGAGTGGCCAACTGCAAGATCACAAGGCTATTAAGACTTTTAGCCCACGCCCCACACAACAGCTAAGGAACATAGATATTGTTATAGACTAACTAATTAACCTAATTGCATCAACTACTTTTATTTAAAGCGATATATTATCATTAACCGACTTTTATAACATTAATAGAGCATTTTCTTAATTGGAATAAATATGGCTTAGCATTCATGTTTTAAAATCACAACATAGTACCTACTAGCTCATACTTCGGTAAATTAGTTATAATATTTCTTATTATGTACTTTAAAGTTCGTTTTTTTTTTTCTTTTAATAAACCTATCATGAATTTCTTCGAACAATTTATCAGCTGATGAGAACATAAAAGCATAATAATAACGAATCGTACTATATTAACTACTATTTTCGGTGAACTTAATTAAGAAAACAAGAATGAGCTCATCAAATCTGTCTAATAACATCACATACAAAGTAGCATCAGATGCTTCGTGTTGCTACCATTCTACCTATCATTAAGGATCGAATCAAATCGTGCAAGACAGTTCGCCGGATAATAATAATAATAAAAAACAAAAACCAGCCCATATATAATTGTTCTGATTTCCACCATATGTAAAATAAGAATAACGGAAAAAGGAGGGAGATGGATATTTATCGATTTACAACTCAAATTTACAGATTAAAATGGCCTAAGCCCTACAAAATTCACCTACATCAACCTCCAGCCAACATCCTACCCACCCATTTAATTCACCAACCGTAGCCGTAGGGCCCCTCATACATAACATGTACATTAAATTATAAACA